AAGGCTGTTTTTAAGTAATCAACTGAAATGTAGAAATCACAAGACTAGTACTGATAGGAAAATTATCTTCCATGATATGAGCTGGGAAGGTAATAGAGCAGTGCACAGACAGGCTAGCAAATTCTTAAGTTGTTAGGGACAATTATTGGTAGTGAGTGTGGAGAAACCAATGCGGGGGTAGGCTGTTCTCAATTTGACTCTTAAATAATAGTAAGGAATTGGTTGAGAACCTGAAGGTGCAAGGAAAATAAGGTCATAGTGATCATTAAATGACAGAGTTTGTGATCCCAAGGAAAGGAAGAAAGAATAGTAGAATAAAAACATTGAACTTGAGTAAAAAACAAGGCTGAGTACAGAGTAAGAGCATTTAGGGATAAAATCCGAAAGGTTAAGGCTTAAAGTGAAATACAGCTAGCCAGGGATATAAAAAAATAACAGAAAGTAATAAGTCTATTAGAAATAAGAGGAAGGCCAAGGAAAGTGTAAGTTCCTTACTGAATGGGAAGGGGAGGCTAATAATGGGTGATGTAGCGAATGCTGAAGTGTTTAATGCTTTTTTTACTTTAGCCTTCACAAAAAGGGTCAATTATGAGGTGACGAACACAATTACTATCAAGGATGGAGAGACAGGTACTTGGCCTAGAGTAGGAAAAGAGCAAGTTTCTTAGATAAGCTATTTTTTTTCACACCAGCAAAGCCTGAGGACTTCCTCCTCAGATTCCTCCTAGAGTTCCTCACAAATTGGCTAAAATTATCAGTAGAGCCACTGGATATTTTCTATAAAACTCATATAGTTCAGGTAAGATCCTAAGTCTAAAAAACATCAAATACAGTGCCACCTTTTTAAAAAAAAAGGAAAATGAAGACCCAGAGAATTAAAGAATCAATTAGTCAAATTTCAATATCTTCATTAATGATTTGGAGCGTGGGACTAAGTGCATATTTAGTAAAAATCTGCAGATGACATCAAGCTGTGTGGGGCAGCCACTCTTCAGAAGACTGAATAAAATTTTAACCCAACACTGATAAACTGATAACATGATCTGAAATGAAAAGGATGAAATTTGATAAGTGCAATGTGTTACACCAAGGAAAAAGCACATGAACAAATACAAATTGGAGAATGACTGACTAGGTTGCAATATTGCAGAAAAGGACCTTGGGGTTATCCATTATCTGTGGGATTTTGCTTGACTGACTGGTTGGTTTGGTTTGACGTTAGACTCAGGGTTACAGTGTACCAGAAGCTGAATATAAACCAACAACTTAATATTGCAAAAAGCTAATATTAAGCAGGAATACACTAACAGATGTCTTGTGTGTAAATCATAAAAAGTGATTCTTCTGTTCACCCCTGGTGGGGCTTTACTTAGGGTACTCTTTACAGTTTGGGCACCACATCTCAAGAAAGATGTGAATAAATTGGAAAGCCCAGAGGAGAGCGAGAAAAATTATTAGAGGCTTTGAAAACATGTCATATGACGTTGGAACAATTATAATTACGAAAATGGAAGAAACAAGTTTGAAGGGGGATTTGATGAGACTTCAAATACAAAAAAAAAAGTTATAGAAAGGATGGCAATCAATTATTTTCTGTGCCAACAGAAAATAAGACAAGAAGCAATGGCCTTAAATTGCAGCAGGAGAGATTTAGGTTACATAATAGGAAGAACTTTCCACCTATGAGCGTGGTTAAGTACTAGAACCGATTACCTAGACAGATTGTGGAATCCTCATTAATCAAAGTTTTTAAGTGTAAGTTAAAAAAGTGTTCTTCTGGGATGTTTTGGACAGGGGTGACTCTACCTGAAGCAGGGCTTTGGACTTCACAACCTCCTGAGGTCTGTTTCAGTCTTGTTTTTATGATTTTGTACAATCCAAATTGAACCTTTCAGGTTCTAAGTAACTCTGTTCCTTTAAGAAAAAAACTGGGTATAGCTCTATAGAAACTATTTCTCAATTCACAGCAGCAATCGAAAACTAAAATGTTACCACATGTCAAGAATGGTATATATTAGTATGTAAGTTACAACAGTACTTACTCTAAATAGAAACTCGTGAAAGAACACACAGAATCTGCCTCAAAAAGCTGATAATTTAATGGGACTAAAATCAAACCAAACCAACTAGCCATCCAAACCAAACCAACCCCACAGACAATGGATACGAGAAGAGATAAAACAGACAACTGACACACTTGTTTGATATGTGTTACCTCCGGTATAAACTTCTGCATGTAGCACGTGTGTGCGCGCATGCACGCCTGTGTGTGTGCGTGTGTGTGCGTGTGTGTGTGTGTGTGTGTGTGTGTTTAAATAATATGCTGATCTTAAAGCATATCATACTAATGATAGTAAAAGTCGTCAGTCATACTTGAATGAAAAGAACAGGCCTAGTGATTTGGCTTAAAAACAGTATTTCACAGACCTGGGATAAACAAAGAAGGAAGGAACAGAATTTTAGTCCAATAAAAAGTAACAGTGCTATGGCAATCGAAGACTGAGTTGCTTAATATAATCAGGAGAGAAGGGTTATGATGACAGAAATGTACAGAATAACTAATGGTAAGAGGAAATCAATCTAGCACTCCTATTTTTCTTAGCAGGCTAAGAGAAAGGGAACATAACAAAAAAAGAATTTCAAAAAAATTACAACTACTATTTCTTCAAATAAGAAATGCCCAATCAGCAGTAGTTATTGACAAAAGATATCAAGAGCATAGAGGGAAGGGCTACCAATTAGGGTTTATGTAATAATAACAAAAGAAAAGCATAAACCATTACTCTTCAGGGCATAAAGCTTAGCCACAGATTAACAAAATAATAAGAAAAAATTACCTTATGCACAAGTTATTTTATTAATGTCCATTATTAGTAAATTGATTAATAGCCTCCAGACACCTTGATCGAGGCTGGACCAGACAGCGTAATGTGATACTATATATGAAATTCTTTGAGACATGATACCAGCAACTGACTAGACTTGTGGGCGCATGGTTTGTTAGATATGGTAACTCCTGTGTTCTTTGTCTAAGGCTTGGACTGGAGTGTCCCACCTAATAAATATGTCAGTGCTCTGGGTACTGTTTGCCCAAAGCACAAGAAAAACCTCAAGTCCAAATGAGAGACTACACTGAAAGCTTAGAGATGAGACATACAATAACATCAAAGCTGACCTGTATTAGACCACAACTAAAGCACTCAATTTAAAAATCAGCTGCAGTACACATTTCTAATCAAGAGGTAAGTTGTCCAAGATCATCAGTCTGGTATTCATACTATGAAGACATTTTAGTTTACATTTATGGTGATAAAAAGGATAATAACAATGATTCTTTTAAGTTTTTTTGGAGGATACATTCTCCAATCAAACCTATTAGTACCACCACAAACATAAAACATCTTTTGTATTCAGGGTAACAAAAATTGTCTGCTTTGCTTGACTGATGAAGATTAGCTGACTTCTTCCATTAAAGAAGTTTGTCTTGTATGGGCTGAAGTGACAAGACAATAACTAAGTGCTAATTGTGCATAACCAACACTAAAGATATGCAGCCCCATTATGGCATGTAATAAATGAAGCGGACAACAGAAATATATTAGGCACTTTAATAATGATCCCAAAATAGTCGTTCACAGCAATAGGGATAGGGAAGGTTTAAGAATCTGAACTTAGGAGCGTGTGCGTCTTACTTGAGTGGTTCAACTGGTTGAGTAGCCTTTAGTTTGAATACAGCCTTTTAGTTCTGTGGTGAGACAAAATTGATATAGGACTTGTAAATAGCATTCTAACCTATAATTACTTTGTGTTATTATATAGTTTAAGCAATGGCTATTATTTGTTTGATATTTTAATTTTGCATGAAACGTGATGAAAAAGGTCAATTTAGCTTTTTTTAGAGTGCAATTGTAGCATGCTATATTTTAGCAGCTATTTATTTAATGTTGCTCTAAAAATGCTTGCTTTTTTATTTTAATAAATACTGTAGTATAGGATGATACAATATAGGGCGAGGTAAGATAGCATGATTTATGTAAGACTAGATTTACCTTTGTTGAATACTGTTTTAGAATATGGTAAATTCTTGTTATTACCCCCCCACAAAAACTTTTACCTTCAGTGGTTTTTTATATTAAATGTAAAAGAAATGCAAGCTCTAAATCATAGTGCTAAAACATCAAGCAATGTAAGATGTGCAACAAATAGTACATGTGAATTAAATCTTTAATTTCCAAGGGTGATATTCTGGCCCAGAAGAAATCAGTGACAAAATAAACTTCTTCCATAAGCACAGGATTCCACACCGAGGAAACAGATTATGATTTTTAAAAAGGACTAAAGCCATGCAATTCAATTCACAAGGTTTAGAAACATGGCTTGGGATTCCAACACTGATATATAACAACAGAGAGAGGTAGGCAGCCATGTTAGCCTGAAGTTAGGCAGAAGGTAGGACGCGCTGGCACCTTACAGACTATAGACTAACCTGTTCAGAGAAGCTGTTGTAGGCTTAGCCTGTGAAAGCTCATGCCTCTTTGAATGAATTAGTACACAAAGAATAGTGGAGTACAACATATAGTGTCCCAGTAATTCAAATGATGATAGGAACACTAACAGAAAGAAACAGATTGTAGTTTAAAGTAAATTTAATTGACAAAGCCGAGGAATTTAAATAAAATGGATGCAATAATGATAAATGATGCAGCCAAGGATCTTGGGAGTACTTTATAAATATTAATTAATTAAGCTTGATGGACAGCCTTGAGAAGTAGGAGAAATATCATTATTCTTATTTATTGATGAGGGGATTGAGGCACAAAAAGTTCAAGTGACTTGGCCAAGGTCACACAGGTGCCCGTGGTGATGGTAAGAAAATAATTCAGGTTTGATTCCCAGTCTTGAGTTTCAAGAGGAAGACAATGATTCCTTTCTCGTGTAAATATACATAAATACACATTTTATTTCATAGACTATGGAATAAAACCAGGGAGCCCTCTTACCTCTGGTTACAAAGCTGACATGCAAAACAGTCCAGATGGTAAACATTGTCCTTGGCTCTCATCACCATCTCAAAAGCAGGTATGAGCTTACTGCAGGCAGCACAGTTTCCTGTAACGCCAAATAACCTGAAGACACACAAAGGAGAGAGAGTCCAGAAAATGGTTAACGGACAAGAAAAAAAAAAATCACCCTTATACTTATGTTCTTCAGCTTTATAAAAAATGTGTGACTGTCATTCAACTTCCCAGCAAACCTTGCTTTGGAAAGGCTGATGTTCAGCAGTGCACGAGTGTTCATGTAACAATTCCATTTGAAGCCATTTGCTGATAAAGTGCTATAGCACTGGAAAGCTTTATAAAACAGTAGCAGAATAATATTGTACCTTGTGAAGTAATTTTTATGCTGGTTATATACATAAATATTCTTCTTTGGTACATATTCAGTTGACCTTTCTTGATGAAAGAAACATCTTGTTCAAGCAAACAAGGAAATGGCAAATACATTAGGAATGTTACATAACCATAAGCAAGCAGAGGTCAACCAGTCTGAATACGTAGTAAGAGCCTTCTACTTGGACTGTACTGTAAATACGAGAGCCACATAACCTTGGCCTCAATGCTATTTATTATTAAAACACATTTTAGCTAGAAAGAAATAACACTTGAAAAAGGCAATATTCTTCGCATTTTTGACATCTAGTGCTAAAAGCTTTACCATTATTATTAAAAGAACATTTTATGAACAAGTCATTTACATCGTCAGAAAGCATTAGCGGTTCATGCACCTTACAACCCTTTACCATAGTTATAGCTATGATTATGTTATTCAGGTAGCACATTAAAGTAAATGAGGCTGTAAACTATATATAGCCACATCAGGAGTGGAGGTATAATATGCTGTAAGAACAATTTGAAATGGCATTTTTACCAGACTAATATATTAAAAAAAACTTTTAAAGAATTCTCTTTGTTAAAGATTTCTTGATACTTTTCAAGCAAACACATTACAAACAACTACACATATGCATGCTTTTGTAACATAGGAGGATTATAATGAACAAGAAAAAATACTTTCGCTAGACATACCAGCAATCTTTGAAACTAAGTTTGTTTAAACTACTTAATAGTTGTGAGGGATTATTAAAAGTAATGCTCTGTCTGTGCTTAGCGGTTAATGCTGTTTTTAGCTATGAAACAAACTAGATGAAAACGCCACATCTGCCAGTTTTCTTTTTTCCTCAACATCAGGCTGACAGCAGAAAAATATAATGGCTCTCAAGGGAAACACCAAATTAAAAGCAGATCTAAACTAATGAATTCAAAGGTGTTCTGTAGAAAATTCAGTTTGGTAACATAAAAATGAATGCACTTTTTAAATCACATCCCTCCATTTTACTGAATTTCACAAGTTACCAACAAGTCTACTTAATTTCAATTCTTTTTCCCTTCTGCTTCCACTTACGACGTACTTTTTGCATAAAACATGTATGTTTATTTTTAAAGTTCTGAACCATTTCCTACTGACTGTCTGATGTGTTGGTTACCACAATTACTTGAAGGAGCTTTTTGAGTCAAGGAATATCAAGTCTTTTTTTCATTCTTCTCTTGTTATCTTATTCAAACCCACTGCAACTGCATTTCTATAAATTGCGAAGACTTAACACATCAAGTTATGAGCATGCATCCAGTTCTTTTAATCCACATTCTTTTCCAAAGACACTATTCTAGTTCTAGGGCTCATGACAGCACTAACTTCCTAGGTGGGGTTTCTCTCTCAAAACTCACTACTGTAGCTGTAAAACAGGCATAATATTTCCCTACCTCCTAGAGGTATTGTGAGTTTTTAACCTAGGTGAAGACTGCTTGAAATCCTTTGACCAAGGGCCCTATTCTGCTTCCCTAACACATTTATTAAGAAATCATGGAGAGGTAAGGGACACAGGACATGAAAATGACGCTGCAGAAGGTGCTAGGTAAGGGCTGGAAGTATAAAGTACTGTTATAGTGAACTCCATGTTAGTAGAAACATGCTTGCTTTAAAGATGCAATACAGCAAAGCACTGAAGCTCACATTTAACTTGAAGTGCTTAAGTTGTCCAATCACCTGCAAGGCCATTTCCTTGCTACCACTCAAGTATTCAGTGAGACTGTTTGTTTGTGTGTTAAGAGTTAAGTTTGAGCTTCCACACTTTGATGGATTGGCTGTAATGTGCACACAGTGTTGCCCTTTCTTGCAAAGCCTTTTCCTATCTATTGTTTTAAGTGGAGATTCACTGTCATTCGACTTGAAGTTTTCACACTGCAGACCAATGGAACAACTTTGGACTGCCATTCTGTGTTCCAACAAACAGAGATTTGCTGTAACAGAGATCCGTAGATGCGGGTTTTCTTGTGCAAGACATCCTCATAGAACTGAAGCACCAGACCTATTTAAAAATTTCAACTCTGTAAAGGAAAGGAAGCCTCCTTTGCAGTTTTTTCTCCCCCATACAAACAAATAAAAAAAGACCTTTGAGATTTATACAAGCTATTGTTAATTTTGGATAAAGCTGTTTATATGAAGAACATAGTTTTCTCCCATTAATAATAATAATAATAATAATAATAATAATAAAAACCCACAATGCCATTTTGAGATTCTGGACATCGTTTCCCCCAATTTCAATTGCTCTCGCTCCCTGAGCATTTATCAGCTACCTGATTAGAATTTGTTTCCACACAAACCATTGATCATCAGCCTATTACTAGGCAAATGACAGTTAATTACCCACTACATTAACCACTGGGACCTGAGACCTGCTTCTGCTGCCATCAGTCAACATGATAAATGTGGCAAGTTCAGTAATGCATGGCCAGCCCTGAGCTGCCTGCTATAGTGTGAACAACCCTCAATCTCACTTCCAGGCCCAGGAAAATCTATGGCAATCTGCATAATTACAAGCTCTGGGTTAATAACAGACAAATGATTTGTTGCATCTAAACAAAGTCCTTGGAATGGGCCTGGTCTCCTGTGGCTGCCCAGGCTGCTGTTCTGCCACTGGTGTACTTTCCAGGACAATGTGCACAAAACAGATCTCTGACGCTATATCCTTCCAATTTGTTGCCCTCCAATTTATGGATTCTGCATATGTGATTTTTAATCATTAAAGAACTCTTGAAGCAATATTATCTTAATTATTCTCTGCTGTAACCAGGGAATTAGGCTTCAGATAAAATTTTCTTCTTCTGTGCACTTTCCCTGCCTCGCTGGAGGCTCCATCAGTTTTCATCTACACCTGGACTCTGAAATCCTAATGATGAATTATTGCCCCTTTTCCTAAGAGGGCGAACCTTACAAGGGAACATTTTACTGAACTGTCAGCTCACAGACTGAGTGCGGAGATGCGGAAATCTGATCTAATTTACTGCAAAACGATGCATTTGTTAGACTTTCTCCTCAGTTTTGTCCAAGGATCAAGAGATCAGTCAACATATACTTCAACCAGCTTCATATACTTCTTTGCCAGATGGCATGGACCTGACTCTTAAAAAAAACAAACACTATATGGTTTGAACTGCCAGACACTGGATGTTGAAAAGCAAAAGGGTTAATTAATTCTTTAAGAGTTTCCTATTAAAAAGAATTGATAATTTTCAGACAGACTAGTTGGAACTGATACAAACAGAGATGGATTCTCACTGCTGCTTCTGTTTACCCTGGGAATGCCATTTATATAATCCCTTTTAACAAAAGATATATATATATATATATATATCATATTCTCATTATATCCATGTAACTGGACACTTTAAGGCTCTGTCCTCTCTCCTATACTAACACAAGGTTAGAGTCCCTAGGGGACCCGATATTGGTCCTTACTGATTTATCCTATGGATAAGGACTACAGAATTTATTAAGAATAGATATAACCTTTGTCTAGAAGGTTTGAACCATCCTCTGACATGCATTTTAAACTGTATTTTAAGAAATTAAGTATAAATGCTGACTGCAAAGAAATACATTCATTTTACCACATTTGAAGGAGGCACACCATTCTGCACATATGCAAAAATCTCAAAACAAAAACTCCAAAGCAAAGCCAGATATCAACATAAGTGACAACATATCCATGAGTTACAGTAGCAATCTACTTGGTAGGTTTCCAAAATAGAACCCTGAATGATACACAGCGATAGGGGAAAGAAAAGAGAAAAAGGTAACAGATACTGAGAGAGGGAGAAAAGGGCTAAGCGGCAGATACAAATGTAGGGAGGTGATGCAACTGAATTAGACTCTTGGTGAGGACATAGTGGTGGTGGTGGTGGAGAGCAGGTGAGTGGCGGCAGTGCATGAATTATGCAGTTGTTGCTCTTCTCCTGCTTGCCACACCCCGAAGATGTCAGCCCTTCTGGAAGCCCCATAACCAAACAACACAGCTCCATGGGCAGGATCCAGTCAGCAGGCCGTATGTTTGCGATTTCTGTATGGTAGCTATTTTATGCTGGTATGAATTATTTTGAGCAGTGTTGCATACATATCAGCATGGCATAACAAAGATGGATTTGGGCTATAATTTGCTAATTCTATGGGACTTTCATACAAATAAAAAACTTAACACAACATATCATCAATACTTCTATGAGTTTTTTCTTTTAGCTACTTCTGCTTTATGGTTGCCTTCTGTAGAACCCACTATTATACCTACCTATGACACTGTTGCTGCTTATTGGTTTCTTAAATCTGAAAGTGGTATCATTTGGGGTGGCTCTTTAGATTTTAATTTTGTATAAAAAGTAGGAATTAGGTACATGTATTCAAAGAAAAGGTTAAAACTGACGTTTTTAGGTAAGATTTAGCAGTCTTTAAAAAGAATTTTGCTCTCGTGTGGGAAGTGCACTGAATTTCACCAGATTTCTAACTAAACTACATATCAAGTGTTCTGCATCAACACAAAATAAACTCCTTGGTTTGTAAAGCAAAGCATGGCTTATGGTATTAGAGCACTACAGTGAGGCAGACTTTGAGGTCTAAACTTGGCTCCACCGCCAACTCACTGAGCGACCTTGGGTAACTCACTTAACCCCTGTCTCAATTTATCCATTTGTTAAGTGGATAATCTTCCCATCAGAATATCCCTGTCAAGTAG